AAAATATTTCAAATCTCCCAAATTCTTCATCTCAAACTCGGCGGCAAGGTTTTGTTCTAGCTTCATCATCTCTTCCGAATTATCACCTATTATTATCATGTCATCCACATAAATAATTAAGGTTGTCACTTTACCACTTTCCCGTTTCACAAATAATGTATGATCCGAGTGACTTTGATAATACCCAATCCGCCTCATAACTTGGGTAAATATACCAAACCACGCATGAGGCGATTGCTTAAGTCCGTAGAGTGACTTTCGCAACCTACATACTCCGGTTTTCCCTCCGACATTGTACCCTGGAGGAAAAACCATATATACCTCTTCTTCCAAGTGCGCATGAAGAAAAGCGTTTTTCACATCAAACTATTTTAGTGGCCAATTCAAATTTGCAACTAAAGAAATCAAAACTCGTATTGTATTCATCTTCGCTACTGGAGGAAAAGTCTCCTGATAATCAACACCATAAGTTTAAGTATAGCCTTTTGCTACTAACCTTGCTTTATACCTGTCTACCGATCCGTCTGCCTTGTATTTGATCGTAAAGACCCATCTACACCCAATTGGTTTCTTCCCTTTAGGTAGCTCAGTTACCTCCCATGTATCATTCTTATGTAGTGCCATCATTTCCTCATCCATCGCAGTAGCCTATTTAGGATCCTTCAAGGCCTCCTCAACTAGGGTTGGTGCTTGGATTGCTTCCACATTATTTACCCAGGCTTGACATTCTGGTGCAAGGTTTGAGCATGACACATAATTAGCTATTGGATACTTCACTTTTCCTTCAGGAGAAAATATGTCAGGAGGAACACCACGATTTTGCCTTGGCGGCAACTTATATGTACTCATAACATTATATGGATTAGTTACATGAGCATCAGTAGTACTTACCTCAGGAATATTCAGAGAAGACATATTGGGTGGCACTATTGAACTTGAGAGAGAGGGGGTTGCGGGTTCGGTAGCTAATAGTTACTGGAGCGGTGAAACTGGTTCGGGAATTCCCTGCTGACACTCTGCATCTCACTCGGCAGCACATTGTCGAGAAGACTCAACTGGTTCAGTGCTACTTGGCTGAATAATACTCACATTCTCGGCAAGACACTGCCGAGATTTACTGTCTCCATTCTCAGCAGTGTCTTGCCGAGAGCTTTCACGGCTTTTTTTGTCAATAAATACTCCCCCTGAGCTACATATTTCCAACCACCCAAGATCACCACTCATATTCTCCCCCGGGTGATCGGAAGGTGATGGAGTCGAAGCATAAAAGAACTCGGATTCAAAAAAGGTAACATCCATAGTTACATACATATGACGAGTTTCAGGGTGGTAGCACTTATACCCTTTCTGTTGAGGAGCAAATCCCAGAAAAACACACCGGTGAGCACATGGATCGAGCTTACTACGATGAATCTTGTGAATATGAACATAGGGTACACACCCAAATACACGAGGAGAAAGAGTATTAGTTAACACTACTGGAACAAATTATGTCAATACTTGGAGAGGTGTACAAAAATCCATAACCCGGGATGGCATACGGTTAATCACATACATGGCATAGGTGACAGCTTCAGGCCAGAACCGTTTAGGTACAGATGCACCAATGAGCAAGGCACGAGCAATTTTCAAGATATGACGGTTCTTTCTTTCAGCAACCCCATTTTGTTGTGGGGTATGAGGACAAGTAGTCTCATGTAGAATTCCTTGATCCCGAAGGAAGCCGGACAACTCGGAACCAATATACTCACCTCCATTATCAGAGCGGAGAACCTTAATAACAGAGGAATATTGCGTTGCAACCATTTGAGAGAATGATCGAAACACCATACCCACATCACTTTTATTCTTCATCACATAAATCCAAGTCATACGAGTGCAATCATCAACGAAGGTAACAAACCATTTAATTCCAGACAAAGTACTAACAAGAGCAGGACCCCAAATATCAGAGTGCACAAGTTCAAAAGGAAACAATCTTTTATTCATACTAGGAGGAAACGAAATGCGATGACTCTTCGCGAGAATACATACCTCACAATGTAAGTCTGATTATTTAGTTTCATGAAATAAACTAGGCAACATACGCCTCAAATAACCAAACGAAGCATGTCATAACCAACAATGCAATAACCAAATTTCCTGTAAATTATTGGTATGAGATGCTCGAACTGCATTAGCTCTGCAAGAAACAACGTCATCCACATAATATAACCCCTATCTCTTAGTGCCACGCCCAATGATCTCCTTTGTCTGAATATCCTGAAGTAAGCAAAATGAAGGATACATTAATACAACACAATCCAATTGTTCGGTGACTTGAGGTACAGATAATAAGTGATGGGACAGTGATGGAACCAATAAACAATTATGTAAGGGAAAAGATGGTGTAAGAGATAACTGTTCCTGCTCCAACAACAACAGTAGTAGAACCATTGGCAGCTACCACACACTTTCTATGAGGGTCTTTCTTGGACTGAACAAAGTTCTATCATACGTCATATGATCCGTAGCACCAGAATCTAAAATCCAACCTGTATTCATCATAGTAATAGTACACGAGAACTACTTGCAATAAAATAATCTCACGGCAATCACACCAATATCCAATTATTGCAGTAGACTCCACAGATAAAACTTGTAGATACTCAGCAAAAACAATATAATAACATACGGACAGTAGCAGCACGCCACTGAGAGCTTCTGTGATTGTTGATGAACGATAACTAGAAAAACAGCAAGCAGAGCACACGGCAACAAATATATAAAACTAGCAGCAGCATAGCTGCAATTCAGACAGCAGCCAATCCCATTTTTCCCCCTTTTTTATTATCAACACTAGCAGCAAATCCTTTTGTCCCTTGTATTTCTCTTTTGATCAACACGGCACTATATATAGTGCTAAATAGCACAATTAACCACGCTGCAATAAGCAGCAGAGCACGACTTTCCACGTTGCATAGATTTCACACGGTGCAATAAGGGAACAATTCACACGTTGATTAAGGTAGCAAGGCCCCGCAGCAATTACAGGCAACAATTGCTGATTGCAACAGCAGCAGAGCACGACACGATGATACCAATAGTTATCCTTCTCGGCACAGCACAATACACACACGGTGCAGCCTAACTTATTGTTGCAAGAACCCAGAAATATGTCGAGACCACGCACAGCACCCACGCGGCAGCAAGATCACACTGCTGCAAATCCATTATATATGCCCTGACCGATTTCTGCAACAAGCAGTGCAGGAACAAGTCAACCGAACACAGCAGCAAAAGAAAATACTGTTACAGTTTCTAGGGTTACGGCAAACTTGGCTTTGATGCCAAATAGAATTTTAGGGCTTAATTTTCATGTATTCCATAGTCTGAATAAATAGCACATACAATCCTTGTTACAAAAGGAAACAAAGTAAAAGACACAATATCCTTCCTAAAACATGACTCTAATAATTACAAGATATTTACATTCTTTATCTTCTAAATATTGACTTATTCCAATAATTACTGGATGAAAAGAATCGATTACATCTTCGAAGCAGAGCAAACCATAAAGAGCTATAAACAAGAGTACCGTAGAAATCAAGAAAGTAACAGTACCTCAAGATCCACGGCATTTTCCGCTGCTATTTCAAGTGATTGAGCATCAATGTCAATGCCAATCACCTGTCTGTTCAAAGCAAGAACACATTAACCCGACAACAAAACGAAGAAAGTATTCATTCGAGATTCACAAACTTGATCCGTAATAACCTTCAATTTCGACTAACAAAGTAAAAGGGTTATCGAATTTCCAACTAATACTCAAGTTAAAACCACACTGGGAAAGATGAAACTCACTCTGCACCCAAGAGTGCAGCTGCAACACCCAATGCACCACAGCCACAACCAAAATCAGTCACCACCCTCTCACTCACGTCCCCGAATGAATTCTCTGCCTAATCAATCGAAAACCCATGATTATTAACGCGACGAAACAACCCCAAATTCAAGAATTTAGCAGAAAATCAATAGTTTTAAGCAAAAAGGCAGAGACTTTGAGAAGAACCACTGAGCTAGTTAATTAATGTTGACTATGATGATGGAATTCACTTCTTTCCTCATTTTTCATCTTTTGCTTAATTTTTTTTTATAATGAAATCTTGTTGGTTGAAATTTCTTTAATCCTTCTCATCCTTTTCTTGTTAAATCAGAAGCCAATGAAAGTCTTTCCAACTCACAAGCATTTGGGATTAATTAGCTTTTAACTTTTAATTTGTTTTAAGTTTTAAAGAAGTACAAATATTGTCACTTAGTACATGGGCTAATGACATTTTCTCTGCTTGTAAGTAAGAAATCTTAGATTCAATGTTTATGAATGGCGGACATCGATACCAAATTAAACTAGTCATTGCATGGTTAAGCTCAACTTTTGCATCTCTTTTAACGTAGCTATATCGTTGTAAATAAAAAAAATAAAAAAAAAAGAGTACAAATACACTTTAGGATTAATGTTGATGCATTTCAAGAGGTTTAAGTGCTAAAATGGTCTGTGTTTGGACCCATTAGCAATGATGCCATTCCGCCAAACGAAGATTTAAAATTATGCTTGGAAAACAGACTTGTATTGTATTAGACATATTCTAAATTACTCTGATTCAAGCCATTAACCCCAAAACCTTTTGATGCACTTCCCTCCCATCCGGCACCAAGTCTCCTAGCAACCACCATCTCAGTTTGTTAGGCCCGTTAACAAACTAATCATCACATACTTCCCATGAAACCACATTAATACTTTCGGTTTTTCCAACCAAAACTGATGAACACAGCTTCTCAGTTCAGTCACTTGGTCGTTATTTGCGAGACCAATCCACCCATGTTACACCACTCGTTCAATTTATAATAATATTCCGTGATAATACATGTACATCTATATAACATCACTGGTCCTGGTCGGTATGGCGGTCACACTCAAACTTTCAGCTTTTTCGCTACTCTTGCGATACAGGCTTCAAAGCAAAACCAAACTAGTATTCCAATACTGCAGTTAATTTCATTCCTTTATGTAGAGACATGGTCGTCACACTAACCGTTTTTCATACGTAATACAATTACTTCAAGCAGCCAACTATCTGAAATTCAAGAGAGAGAGAGAGAGAGAGGGAAGAGAGAGAACTAGTTATACTAGACCAGTTTGCAGAACCTACGAGAATGTCATATTTTGTTACACTAAATATTCAATATTTAAGAAGCATAAGTTGACAAGAACAGAGTGCCCGATTTTGGAACCGTTCAGTGCTTTCACCTCAATCGTATCAAGCTCCCTCCAACCTCATTTGCTTAAGAGTTTGATCCATTTCTGGTTGATGAGATGACACTAATTACTATTTTTGCACTTCTGCATGGCCCTGGGGGCTGTAAGAAATCGAAACATAAGGATGTTTGTTAGGGATTTCATTTAGCAAACAAAATCCAAAATCTACATGCCATCATGAAATTTGTCGGTATTTCTGTCGTGCATGTATGTTTATATAAATATATTAAGAAATGAGGATCATACAATTGAGTCAAAATCTATGTAGAAAGATTAAAACCGATCTCCGTAGTGATAAACATGAATAAAATGAATTAGATGGAAATATTAGATCAGTGAAGATACCTAGACCCATAGCCTCTGAACTCTTCATGATCCTCATCCTCTTACATGAGTCGGTAAACATTCTGCAAGAGCAATCCTTGATTCAGTGAACATTCTAACATGGAGAAACCTCCTTTGAAAAGCTATTTGAGTACTATTGTATCTACACATCCGAATATCTGTATTGGAAAATGAACAGGTAATTTACAAATTTTGTTGAAAAGTCCCCACTTACTCCCAGGGAACATCACCAACTAGCATCCAATCGCCATCCTTGTCTTCATAGGTGAGGACATATTCAGCACCATGTAGAAGATCCATCAATCGACTCTCGCTCAATCCATCTCTCGAAGCTCCATGTGAGCCACAATGACCTGACCAAGATTTAAGTAAGGAGGAAAAAATAAATCGGGATTGGTTTCTTTGGAATCCAAAAGAAGATCCTTTGCAGAATTTGCTAAATTAGATAGGGATTTATTCTCCACCTAGTTGATTTACATATACCAACTGACATGCAAACACTCCACCCAACTCTTGTCACTAATTTACAGTTCCGATATTCCAACTAAAGAAGGAACAAACAACTTTCTTGTTAAGGTAAACAGTCTTCCAATCGTTCTCGAATTCTGATCCAAGCTTCTTAAAGATGGTTTGAATCACATAAAACTACTGCCAGACGTGAAAACTTATGGCAGGTGAATAAGAACAGAGGATGAGTTACAAGGTAACTTACCGATTGTAAAGCAGCTGAACATCTTTTCCAGAGCTAGAGATAACTCCAGATAGCTACCGTAGGTTTTCAGATCAACTTTCCTCAGGTACGGTGCACCATCCATGCTGACCTTAACATATAGACACCCTGCTCCCATCTTGCCTTCAGCATCATCATCATTTTTCGAAGGAACGGAAGCCATTGAATTTTTCCGGAAAGAACGAATTGGTGGCCATCCTACAACCTGTGCCCTGTCACGCACATGACATTGGACAAGTTAAGAGTTTATGATGAACATCTTAAATAACTTCCTACCTATCCAATCTATGACTATATAATGTACATAATGTTACAATTTCGGGTCAACAAGTCCAGAAAGCAGTGAATTCAAAACAATGAAACCAGGCTAACAGATTACAGACTTGGCTTGCAGACGCGAAAAATCTTGCCGTTCTGGGACAAAATTTGAAACATACATGCAACGAAATATTTGAAATTAACACAAAATCTTATGCCCTCCTTCCAAACAAGGAAATAAGTGAAATTTTATGCAATATGAGAAATGAAACAACCAATCTGCAAAATAAACAGCACGTAAAACCATATAATTCTTCAGTTTAACCTAAAGGGACAAAGAAAATCCCCACAATTTTCCCTCGTACTACTAATTAAAAAACTTAAAACCCATAAAAAAAAATTAATACCACAATTCAGCAAACAAAATATTCATCTTTCTGGAGAATATTAAAGAAAGAAGAAAAGGGCAGAGAAAGAAAGCTAATTACTTTGCAGCAGGGGCAGTAGACCCAGCAGACCCTTGGGATTTCTTCTCATGCAATGGCTTTGGAGACTGTTGGACACCATCTTTCACATTAGACCCAGCTAAACCAGTTGGTTGCTTGCTGGGTTCACTCCCAGCAGCAAGAGTTTTCCCAGCATGCACACTTCTAGGAGAAAGCAAGTTTCCACCTTTTCCCAACTCCACCTCAGATCCACCACTCCCAGAGAAAACCCACTTTCCAGAAGCTCCATCAATGGCGTCTGAGAATCCCCTCTTGGCCCCAGACACCAACCCCTTAACCCCACATGCTGAAAACCCAGCAGCTTTCTCCTCCACCCCACCACCGCCGCCGCCGCTGTCTCTCTGTGGGGATTGGGAGCCAGGCAAGCCCAGTCTCAGCTCAGTGGCTTTGAGGTTCAAAGCAGCAGACTTGTCAGAGGTTTCCATTGAAGGAGATAAGCCTATGTAATCATGCTCCAAAGAAATAGACATCAAAATATGTCAACCCAGAAAGCATTAAACGGATTTAGAACCAGAGAAATGAGAAAGTTGAGAGCTTTTATTTCAGAGTATATTGGTGTTTTGGAGAAGAAGATGAAGAAAAAGAGAAGCTTCTTTCTATATAAAATGCACTCTCTCTCGGTACTCGGTACTCGGCACTCAGCACTCTGTAACAGAGAAAATGAATATATTAAAAAAATTATATAAAAGAAAATAAAAGGCAAGGAAAGTGTGGGAATTAAAACTTAAAATTGAATAGACAGCTTTTCTTTTTGGTCGATTTTAAAATAGACAACTTGAGAAATAAAAAGTGGAAACCTTTGGGTTTGGCATTAACAATAATAACCTATAATGGGTTAATTTCAAATGTTCCCCTAAAAAAATACGACTTTTATTACAAAAATTGATCACTTTAAATATTTACTTTACTTGCTCAAACTTCCTTCTATTACTTAAGTATTGTAAAACATAACAAACCAACCAACACAAGTCAATCGGTTGGTTATGAAAATTTTTATTTAATCGCCACAAAAATTGAAGAAACAAAAAAATTGTTTTTACTAGGGCGGGGTAAATGAACTTAAAATCCAAAAAAACACCAAAATGGGTTGATTTGGTTTTTTTTTTTTTTTTTTCGTTCAATCGGTTAATAAAATCGAATCAAACCGCAAAAATTGGTTTAGAATGCATTACAAACCGTGATTTAACCAAATTAAACCATATATAATAAAATATATAAATTAATATTAGGATTAAGTACCTAAAATTCTCTAACTTATTCTAAATTGGTCTCAATATTTTTAAACATTCTAAACAAATAAGCAACCTATTGTAAGTGTTACATCCGTTAAGTCCCAGTTAATTTGTCGTTAAACATACATATAGCGACAATGAGTCCCACTTATTTGCTTACCTAGATACTAAAATAGTATTAAAAATAACTTCAAAAAAGTCATGAAGATGAAAAAACAAATACACGAATAAAATGAAGATGAGGAAATTTCTTAACAAAGAAGCGGGTTAAGAATTTAGATAAGGTGCCAATGAGCTTGTTTCTGCTAATGTGATTTCCTTATTCGCCAATTTTGGCTAATAAAGCTTTAAATTCTTCTTTATAGCTGGTAAAGATGGTGGTAGCTGCATCGTGGCAATCCATAATATTTCAGCATCCTTCATAACCTTCTTCTTAATTTTGGCGGCTTGAGTTGTAGAGTGGAGTTTATGGTTGTGCGTTGGGTTTGGAGGTAAAAGCCTAAGTGGGGTGATGGTGACCATTACTTGGTGGAACCCATACTTCCATAATCTTATATTGATGTTGGAGACAAAGTAAGCCCTAGGTAATTTAATAGAAATTCAATTGGGATTTAACGGATATGATATTTTCAATAGTTGGGTACTTGTTGAAAAAGTTTAAAACGGTTGAGACTAATTTGGAATAACGCTAAAATGTTGGAGGGTTTTAGGTACTTAATACTTAATAATATTATATGTACATTATATATGTAAACACTAATATTATATATTTAACTGACTAATGATGTCTCTAGTTTAATATGCATGCCCAATTCAATAAAATTCAAATCTCAAAGTGATTTGGGTTGATCGATTTCAAATTTTTATTGTACTCTCTTGTATTAGTTCAGTAAAATATCATCCATGAGTGATGATCCAATCCAAGCATAAGGCTTATTAAACACATGAACACCAATATCCATATTAAAACTCCAATTTGTCAACTGATCAGCCACATAATTCTTCTTCTTGTAGATGTGTTTCAACTCACTTCTCCTCAAAGAGAAATAATTTAACTATATGGTTTGTTCTTAGGAAACATATTCGTCGCCGGCCCTAGCCTTTGGCTTGGTGCCGATGGCAACCCATTTTTTCTCATCCTTCCCTCATTCTCTTCTTCCTTTCCACTCTCTTCTCAGTTTTCTTATGAGTTTTTCTCAGTTGTCCTTGAGTTTTGTCTCAAATTTTCCCTGAGTTTATCTCATATTTGGGCTTCATGCCCCTTCCTCAATTATCTGCCTTATGTTCTTTTGTTTCCCACCCTCCCTTCCTCGTTATCCATCCCCACCCCATCCTTTGCTTTTTGGCTCCAAACCAAAAATGGATACCAGATCCACTTTCCTCCCTCACTTCCCTTCCCTTAACCGGTTTACCGAATTCCTCTCGAGGTCAAGTGCTCTACGACTTCGGTCAAAGTAAGGGTATTTTACATGCCCCTTTAGCCTCACCTTCTACCATATGTTACTTTGTTTGTATATATTTGTTGGGTTTAGTGAAGGGGACTTGATCCGGTGACTGTTTCTCGGTCTGGCATTCTTTATGACGAAATCTAGCTCTAGTGGCAACGACGAAGCTGCTTCTCTCTGAGGATTAAGATTAGGGTTTTATTTTCGGGTAATGTTAGGGAGACCAAATTTCTAAACCAAATTTTGTAAACCAATGATGTGGATGTTGATGTTTGGATTATTACTTATGTATTGTTTAACGTATTTATTTCCTATTGATGACATATTATTTAGTTTGCAAATTTGGCTTTAAAATTTGGTCTCACTAGCATAATCCTTTATTTTCTGTTTGTTTGTTTATTGGGCTAGGCTTTTGTAGTTTAGCTTTCTCCAAGTGTATTTTGGGTTATTTTGCCTTCCCTTGGGTTGGCTTGTAAAGTTTTCCTTCTTAATGAACATTACTTTTTCGACAAAAAAACAACCACCAACTACAAGTGCTCATTTACTACAATGATAGAAAAGAGTTGAACTTTGTATGACGGCGTGGGTTCGAACCATATCGATGACTAATCTAACATTTAATCTAATAAAATTTATCGTTTGACCAAAAATAAAAAAATTAACAACAACCAACTTGAGATGAAAATAAAAATAAAAATATTTGAGGGCCAAAGTGACACGAGCCCTAAATTTTGTACGGACAAATTTATAAGAACTCAAATAACAAAAACTTTATGAACCTTTTACATATTTTTTTATTATTTAACCTAATTTTATATTATTCCCTCAATATTTATTTAAAAATATAAAAAAACTTAGCAAAAAAAGGCAAAAAAGCTAGAAAAATTGGAATTCGCGCCGAGAACGTGTGGCTGGCAACAGGAAATTACGGAAAGGGACGGGACTGGAAAACACAGTCGGAATTTTCAAGGCGGATAGGGAAATCCCAGGCGGGGGTGGGGATGGGGATTGTTTTGGCGGATTCGGTGTTTGGATTGCGGGAAAGAAAGGGAAAAGTCGGGTGGGCAAGTGAGAGACTTGGTGAGAAAGCTGACATGGATGGAGATGCCCCTAAACGCCCAGTTGGAAAAAAAATGGAAAAAAACGGCAGTTTGAGGAATTGGGAAGAGAGTGTGGGTTGATGGGGAAGTGACTCTGTGATTTGTGTTTGTACGTGCCGGCAGCTAGCTGTCGTTTGGATGCTCGGAAATTTTGAAAACTTTCCCGGAAAATTTTGACGACAGAAACAAATTTGACTGAAAGGAAAGCACAATCATTTACCCGCAAAACAGCACAGAAATAAAAGAAAAAACAATAAATGTTTCTTCCGTCACAAGTTACCATTTTTTTAAATGTTTTTAAATAACTGAAAATACTTTTGTTTTCGTAAGAAGTACTTAAAATTTTTTGAAACCCAAAATTACTTTATAAAAACGAGCTACCAATTTATAATCAAGAGAAATATTAGAAAAAAGTAAATAAAGCTAATTTGATTTCCTCTAAAGTGACGGTATTTTTTAACCTTTTTTTTTTTAGAAATTAATGTCATCTTACAACAGGTGTAGTATTTCAATAGTCTGCGTGTGCAACTAAATTTACTTCTTATTTATTGCGACTTGTCATGAGCAGGGATGACGATTGAAAAAATAAAATGAAAAATGAAACAACAGAACATAAAAAGAGAGCAATGTACAAACTAATATATGCTTCTCTCTCTTCTCCATCTTTCCGCGTTGCTTTTGCACAGTACCAAACAACCGTGAACCATTGAATCGGTAGCTGTGGCGCCATGGTTCCAATGGATGTCTGGATTTAAAAGTCATTTAAATGTAAAATTTAAAGGAAAACAATGGAAATTCAAGCCAAAATCCACCTCCCCTCCCTTCCCTTTCCCTTCCCTCTCCTCCCTTCCTCATCCGTTGATCCCCACTTCTCATCGCCCCCAACCATACCCACCAAATCCCGCGCCCCAATCACTTCAATTGCAGTTGCCAGTTTTTTTAAATTTAATTTTGAATTTTTAAACAATGCTGTTATTTTTACATGGTTGTGACGCTCATGTAAAAAAACAGTAAAATTTGTATTCATGTAATTACTAAATTGCCAATAATTTTTATTATTGTTCCGTTTTGATTAGAAGGTTAGAATGGTACTTTATGAAGTTTTGGTTGATAATCAGGCTTCTACAAATATATAGTTTAGATTAACTTATTTACAGAAATAATCTTGAGATTTAATTTGAGTTTCACTTAACACTCTGAAATTTAAACTTCATCACTTGACATTATAAACCTTAACTCGTGTTTCACTTTTCTCTTACCGCTAAACTAGTTAACAAATCATTAAAATGGTTTAGTTGGCATAAATAAAATTGAAAAGTGAAACACGATTGTTAAATTTGGAGAAATTTTTTTATTGTGACGGGAACACGAGTGGTACACCACGTGTTTTTATGTAAGTGATGAGAAATTTTATTTTTTAAGTTATTAACTTTTTACCACACATATCCCATCATTTATATAGTGACATATGGTGTACTACCTCGTGTGCTGGTCACACTGAAAAATCTCTCTTAAATTTGTAGCATATAGCACTTATATGGCACACTTTTCAACAACAATTATCCTATTTGTGACACACCCGACCCTAATATCCTCCAAACACCAGGATAGTCCGAATGTGACGAAGCCATACTAATATGCATGCGAACCAATGAATATAAAAAGGACTTATAAATTTAAATATAATTAATATACAAATGAGGAACGTGTTCAGAACATACAACTAATTTATAATACTAAAAAGAAATAATATAAAATTGAATGAACAAAGGAATGGGTCCTACACCGAGAGGACTCGAATATGCCGATGCGGGAGTGTCTTGACGTCGGAATTATACGCTTCGATTCTAAGTCTTGAG